AACACACACACTGGTGCACTCACTGCTTCATGTCCTGCATCTGACACTCCATGTTGTCCTGCTGCGTTCTGAGGAGCTGAACCTCATACAGCAGCTTGCTGAGGTCCTCCTGACGGACTTTGGTCTCCTCACTCTTCACTATGGACACCTGCGAACACAAAGTGAAGCCGAACTCTGGAGATAATGTTCCCACAAAGGACACAGAACCACCAGCTCCTCTTCTGTCAGCAGAGCTATTCAGAGGTACTGGCTGTCCCCAGAGGTGGGTTCTCAGGACTTTGGTGGTTTCCTGACTTCCACCATCAGATGGATTCTGTTTCTGAGTGAACTGTGCTGACAGCTATTTATTGTAGTCCTGTCACATTTGGCTCAGACATTTGGTGATCCCGTTTTCATCAACGCTCCATTTAGAACCTGAACGTCTCACCAACTATCTGCTTACAGCGAGCTGCTGGTGTTTAGTGCAAACCACAAACTACACGTGCTGATGTCTGCAGGAACAACATCTGCTCAGCGGCCCCACGTCAGCGCTAGCAGGCTGACTCTGTGTTCAGGTCGAAGCTCTGCTGTCATCACGTCAGTTCTGCTCAACGTTCCACGAACCTCTGCAGCTCAGGTCAGAACCTCATCTAACATTTCTTCATACGTCTTTATGACGGCGTGAAACGTGTTTACTGTCATTACTGTAAGACAAACTGCATCCAGTATAGAGCATCCAGACTAGTGACGACATTCTATATCATATATACACATTAAGTGCATTGAACTGATCCATGTCGACCACGTTTAAGCTTCCAGTGCAGAAAGAAATCCGCTTTGTTTTTGCATTGATGACAGCATTCTAGCAGGCTGAAAAGAAGGTTTAAATAAAGAGGTTTCTGACTTCCAGAGCTGTTTTTTGCATTGAAACTGACACTGAAATCTGAAGCAGTTCTCACTGGACTGTGTTTCTGGATTTTCTCTTCTACAGGTGGAACAACCTGGTTCCGTTCAGCTCTTTAGATGATTGTAGTGACCAAGCCACCAGCAAGGCTGTAGCCTCGTATTCCTGTGAGTGACTTTATGGTTTCAGTCATCATAAGTAAAACTGGCTTGACCTGATGAAACATACTTTCTGAGTTTTGTCTGGTTGCTGGTGGACCATTCACATGCTTCAGTCGCCCTAACCCTGCACTCAGGCCATCCTCCAGCACAACAGGACGGAGCTGCTCTTCATCACACTTTCTACTCAGTTAGTCGTTGAGATGTTGGTTCATCTCCATACCTTCCTCTTGATGTGTTCCAGCATGTGTTCATGTCCCTGCAGGAAGTACAGATGCTGGAACTCAGTGTCGTCTCTCTCAGGCTTCACCAGACCGCTCTGCTCGATGTTCACCACTTTACGGAAACCGTCTAGAAGAGCAAACACCAAGACAGAAGAAATAAACTCTGGAATAAAGACAGGACAAGACACTGACGGAGATCAGAGGAGAAGAGGAGGGTACGTACACATGTTGAGCTGTCGGACAAAGCTCGCCATGTTGTTGTGTTTGAAGTACTTTGGCAGAACCTCCTTGGCGAAGCGTCCCTGGTCAAACACATGGAAACTGGTCCCGGTCTAGGACAGAGAGCGGAGTGAGGGATGGAGAGTTAGCTTACATGAATGTCACCCACTGTGGAGAGAGAATGGAAGTATTTAACAGATTAGAGCGCTGATCCAGAATCAGTCAGAAGATGTGTTTGGTTGATATGAGTGTTTCCTGTCCAGCTGTTAGTTTGATCATCATCTTGTATTATATGTTTTATTAGTTAGTTGCAGGTGGTTCATTAGCTTTTCATTTAAAGAGAAATGAAAAAGATCCAGTTGATGCTGTTTAAACTCTGTAGTTTTTACAGGAAGCTGACATGAGCCTCCAGCACCTACACGGGTTCAGAACTGCTGCAGAAGACCAGAGAGACACCTGTTCAGATCTTCAATGATCATTGAACACACTGCTTCACATCCAGTGAGCGCCACAGAAAACATTCAAACAGGGAAGAAAAGAAAGAAACAAAGAGAAGCGCAACAGCTGCAAGCTGAGCAAACTGCTGAAGCTATAAGATAAGATAAGATAAGATAAGATAAGATAAGATAAGATAAGATAAGATAAGATAAGATAAGATAAGAGGTCAGCACCAGGTGTTCAGATGCTGCTCTGAGGTCTCAAGACAGAAACAAACGTCTCCAAATCCACCTGAAGTGAGCCTGATTCCATCTGTGCATTCATATACCTGCTGATATCAGACACCTGGCTTACGTTTCAGGGTGAGACTTAGTTCATGGTCACGTTGTTTGTTTGCTCAGGTGTGGTTTGAATGAGTGTGTGCATCACTGAACGAGAGCAGCCTGATGTGGTCCATACCTGGTCTATCAGCTATGAAGCTGATCCTGTTAGAACAGAGACGGGGACAGACTTAAGAGACATTGTGGTGACTGCTCAGACAACAGAAACCAAAAGAACAGCAATAATATCCCAGTCATTCTGTATTATATCCTGACAGCAAGTAGTTGAACTAAAGCAGGAACACTACAGCTGGACATGTGATCAAACCCGAGTTTATCAGTGAGAAAGTCCAAGACAACTGTTTTAAACACGTCTCACCACCAGCGGATAGAAGCTGCATGTGGAATAATGTCATCTGGATGGTGAAAGACGTTTTTCCTCACAGTCCAGGATGCTGTCATGAGCTGCCAGCTTCAGCTCAGTCAGCCAACAGACTCAGGGTTTGTCTCTGAGGAATGAGTCTCTCACTCGGGCTGCTTCGGAAACAGCATCGTGTGGAGTTTCCTGCCGACTCTATTTACAGCTGAAGAAAGTTAAGAAGCGCCCCTTAGTGTGACAGCTGAGCAGCTTAGACGACGCTTGTGAGGCGCTGCTGTTATCGTGTTTTCTGATAGGCTGACGTGGAACAGCTGACGCTGCGCTTTAACTGTAGACGTCGTGGGATTGGACAGCATCTGTTTCACTGAAACCACTTCACACCCAAGAAAGACGGAGTAAACAAATACAGCACAACATCTCTGTTTTATCGCCCTGTTTTATTTCCCTTTGGATACTGTATTGATCCCTTAAAGGGTCAATCTCTGCCACACTGAGGCTCTCCTGGAGCAGATGGGTTGGGAGGTCTTGCTCATGGTCCAGGCAGCAGTAGCCTGGTGGTTCTGGGACTGAAACCCTCAACCTTCTGACCAGTAGTCCAAAGCCTTCAGCACCACCCGTCTACTATCCCAACGGTGTTATCAAAGTGTAGTTATAAGCTGATGTCTCACATTAAAGGATAAATTCATTGAGTTATTTCACAAATAAAGTGAATCAGAGCCGACCTGCGTTCTAGACGCAGCCACATGTCCTCAGAGGCCAGATGTAAGGAGCTAACCATGACAGACACAATAAAAACTATGACTGGAGTTGGTTGATCACGTTACAATGGAAAACAAACTTTCTTTGATTTCTGTATTTTATGTAGCCTGCATGTTGCATGACCTGTAACTTCCTTCATTTAAATCCAGACAAACTGAGGTTCTTGTATTTGGCCCTGAACACCTCAGAAACTCACTATCTGTCCAGATAGTTACT